TAATCGTTTGTCCTGGTTTTAGTAGTCTCAAAAAAACCCCCCCCCCCACCCCCCCCCCCCCCCCCCCCCCCCCCCCCCCCCCCCCCCCCCCCCCCCCCCCCCCCCACCCACCTCCACCCCCCCCCCCCCCCCCCACCCCCCCCCCCCATTGAACGAAATTTCTATTTAGTCAGCATTTTAGAGCGGCATTAACTTAAATCTGTAATCGGATAATACTCTGTTATTTGGTGTCGCTGCATGAGTTACACTCAAGTTCTCCTCATCCGTTGATAAACCGCGGTGATGAAAGCAAATACAATAAATAATGATTTGCAATTTCGGCATCAAGGATATAAAATAGTTGGGTGTAAAAAAACAAATGTTTCGGTTTGAGATTATGCCAAGCAGATATGCAGCTATGGAGTCAGTTACTAATCACACACAAATTTATGCTAAAATAATATTTCTTCATAATGAGATATTTTATTTTCGCCAAACTGATATAAGAATCGGGATTTTCCGGCAGTTTTTTTATGATGAGGAAAAGAATCTATGTGCTGCGTAAAGATTACCCTTACCCCTCCCCCAAAAAAGCCCCAAAATTGGTTGGTGGTGGCTTTGAGGTCTTGAGATCATTCCAGATATTGATGTCCTTAATCTCGGGGACTTTGTGCTGTATATATATATATATATATATATATAGTAAAAAATGTATATTTCAGTATACATTTCTTTTATATATAATACATACATTATATATACATATACACTCATGTTCCATAAATTAAGGATAATGCAAAATCAGGAGAGGAAGAGTTAGAAGCAAAACAAATGGCTTATTTGTAAAGCTTATTTATCATCACTAAAATAAGGTACCTACTTCTGGCATTTTATAGGGCACAACACAAGTGAAAATTTTATCCAAATATTATGAATGTGTGAAAACGACTTGTCATAACTCTTACAATATCAATGGATGGGTGTGCAGTAACTGGAAATTTTATGATTTTTTTATTGCAACAGGACTTGACAAAGGAATATAACATTCAATGCTTGACATTAGGGACATGTGGTTTTACACATTCTAACAATGCTTTCAAGCATGGGATGTCATCCACTGCTGGATTCCATCATTCTTATCCTCCTTATATTAGATTTTTAAAGATTTCGCTGCAAGACGTGAGATTTTTTTAAGTATATCTGGCTTAAAAAAAGCTACACGTGAAGTTCTGCTGAATGATTGTTGCAAAATGTCCCAGCAGTGTTGAAAAGAGCCATTGAAATATGGGATACTTGCACTGTACATAAAAAAGTGAAATGGGGAATTTTAAAAAAATTCATATCTCCTTCTCAAATAATTTTGGAGGCAATAAAGATAAAACATTCTTATAAAATTTAATTTTTTCTCCTCTCGTCTCTGTCGAAAATATTATTGCCTTTCCCTGAAATTATCAAGTGATAAACTTATTCCATTTCCCTTTTTTTTTTTTTTTTTGATTATTCCTTAAAACTTGTAAAATGATGCCTTCAGCACTTTAAATTTTGAACTAGAATATTCAAAATTAACTAAAGCAGAAAAATGTTTATAAATTAATTTAATGATCCAAATTTTTTATAATGAAAAAAGTAAAGTTTTATTTGGGAATTATTGCGAGCAGTTAAGGAATGATAAATGCCGCAAGAAGGACATTTCACAAGCTGAAAGTTTTTGCATCGAAAAACAAGAAGGTCAACAAGTGTCTTAACATGGTACAACACTTAATGTCTAAATGCCAATAATTATTCTCTTATTCTATTTTATAGAAACGGGTTGATGGTTGAAAAAGTCCAGAAAAAGCCCAGAACAAAATGAAAATAAGTTCTAATGTATTAATCGAAATAAATGTTTACAATGATTGTGATAAATTCTGACAAGATGATTGTTGAGAAGGACAAAGGTCTAAATACAAATTTACAGAATTTTCTACTTTTGACCTCAAAAATCTTTCTCGGCTCTTGACACATCTCAAACTTCTTATTTTCATGATTTTCATATTAAAAGATGAAAATAGTGGAAATTTTCTTATCTTGTTCAAAGGGGCCTCTTGGAAGGGGCTTCTCTGTAATAAAGCAATTGAAATTGAAAATTAGTGACTCACTCAGATATTTTTGACGCACAGGTATTGATTAATAAAATTTTCTGGAGATAATAAAGAAATGAGATCGCAGAGCTTCTGTAAGGTCAAATATTGCAGTATTTAGAAGAAACAAAATCTTTAAAAGTATTGAGGAAAATTGATAGTATCTTTTCAAAAAGCAACCAAAAATTGAAGTAATTGTTTAGGAAGTTGAGAAATCAATGAACTTAGAAGAATAGTTAAATAAAAAGAATGCAATGTTAAAATGCTGAAAAGATTCAGATTTTAAAAAAGCACAAATGTTTTGTATCTTTTATTGTGTACAGTTATTATTCTAGTATCTTTCAAAAAACCAAGGAAATAAATTGTATGTTTACAAATCAGTAAATTGCAAAAATTCTTACCATAAGTTAATAATATGTAAATCGGTAAAATATCAGGTAATAAACTTATAACAATGTTTTTAAAAAATACCTTATTTTTTTTCTCACGAAAATTATGTTTCCTAATTAATGTTATCTATTTCATAACTTGTAGGGAATTAGTTTAATTTTCAAATAGTATTAAATTGAAAATAATAACACACCACTTCTGTTAGTTTCTTAAAGTGAAAATTACAAGCATGAAGTCGGGTTGTATGGATCTTTTTACTTTTTTCTACTGATTTTTGTTGGCTGATAGGTCCTTATTTTTTCTTTGATGGTCCTTAAAAGTCCTTAATTTTCATGTAAGGAATGTGTACGAACCTGTTTGATAAATCTTGTAGGTCAGCCTGCGTTTGCATGCAAGCGGAAAAAATTTAATTATTTACGGCATCATTAGAAACTCAAAAATAACAGTATTTCTCTCACTATTTTGGATGTTATTATAACATATAAACCTTCCTCTTCAATCTCTATCTCTATATAAAAATCAAAATCCATGCGTAGTTAAAAGATTTAAGGATACATAGGGATAATGGACAGAGAAGGGACTTTTTATACTAGTTAGGGGGTTGTTTTATACTATGTAGTGATAGTATATTACAGTGCTCTGTTTCTGCATTAGAGAAATATAAAAATAATTATATCTCAAAAATCCATTCATGTATATAGTTTAAATATCAAAATAAACAAACTGACGCTTATTTTCTTGAATAATCTGTTTGCTTTATCACCTGGAATTGAAGTGTGTATTACCTTCGGATGTTCCCTTTTCCTATGTTCTTCAGGGAAGCCATTGAACAACTGTTAGGCCATGTTGCAGTAAAAAATTCCAATATTAGGAAGATTTGACACCCACTATTAATATATGAAACAAAATATCGGGTTGTAACGAAACTTTTCCACCAAAAAGTTCTTAATAAAATTAGAAAAAAAAAAAAAAATGAAAGCAATATCTTTAGTGTGGGTAGTAATTACTACTCAAATTTATAATTTTCTGCCAACATTTTGGTAGTTTTCAGGTAGAAGTCCTAAGGAGCAATGTCAGGACCATATGGTGGTTGTGACAAAAGATCCCATTCGAGTCCGTAGAAAGGCCAGCTGGTGCATGCAGACACATGTCATCTTGCATTATCCTGATGGAACATTATCTTTTTGTGCCGGAACTCAGTTCTACATATTTCCTTGATAGCAGCATCAACATGGACTAGCATCTTGCTATACACCTTACTGTCAAGGGTTTTACCTTTTTCCAGATACTCTTTATGTATAATACCAAGGCAGTCCCACAAGATAGAAAGCATGATCTTATGATGTTTTTGTTAGTCAAATTTTGCTTTCTGATGCTACTGATGGGCTCATTGGGCACAAGCCAACCCCCTTTTTGGGCTGTATTGTTGAAGTAAATCCACTTTTCATCATAAATGATGATCCGGTCCAGAATTTTATTCCTGCATTGATCTTCGTGCAGATTAGTGCAGGCCCGAGCACATCTGTCCTTATCTCTCCTTATCCTTATCACTGTCATTTGTCCTTATCAGCTTATGCAGCACCCAGCAATTGAATTTGTGTGTCAAGTTTATGTGACGCTTAGACATGGCACTAATGTCTAACTCCTTAGCAAGCTCTCGAGTGGTTGCATGCTTATCTTCTTCCACTAGATATTGCAGGTGGGCCTCATCAACATCAGTAGGCTGGCCAGAGTTCTCTGCTTCTTGAATGTCATATTTCTTCTTTTTTTACTTTCATTACCAGCTTTCACTGTGTCATATGATGCAACATTAGTGAAACTGTACTCATGATTTGGTGGCATTCTGTAACTGACTTTTTGTAACAGAACTGGAAGTAAATGATGGTTTTAATCTGGTAGCATGATAGTGACATTCCAGACACCTTGTACTTAATGATAGCAATAACTTTTTTACAAATTTCACAACACAATGTTCTAAAGTAAGCTTTCTTTCAAATTCAAAAAATTGTTTGACAAAATATGATTAAACATGCCAAAGTGAACTGTTTGTGCAGACGATATTTGTGGTGGTGAGAAATGTTTTTTAAAACCCGATACATTAAATGCATCGATACTTCAATGATATTGATGAATTTGCTTGATAAATCAATAATTTCATATTAATCATTCATTAATTAGTCGTTTATTTTCTTTTTTCCATAAAATACTCGAGCAATTTTTATGTAAACTTCATTTTTAGATATTTTATGTCTAGTGTTGTGCAAATAATATATACAATATTTTGAAATGTATATATTAAATGGCAATTTTATTAAAATATGAACATTCTTATGATATGTATGTTTTTTATTACATTAAAGCCCTAATTCTTTTCTTGATATCAAAGTATATAAACACTGTTTTTGAGATACCTCATAAATTTTGTAGCAAGGGTTCTTCTTGACTTGCCTTTGTATGAATCGACTTTTTATGACATTTATATGTTGTTGTTACATATATTATATTTTTCAGGTAACTTTAATTCAGAACTTGGAAACTTATGGTATAAATCCAGAAAAACTTGCTCAGCATGTTCAAGTTGCAGTTGCTGCCAGTACTTCAGTTGCTTTAACACAGAATGGGAAAGGAACTATTGTTCTTATACAAGGAAATCAAGTTAAATATCTTCAAAAATTATTTTTGGGTATGTTATAAGTATTATTATATGCTGCAAAAATTTTAGAATTCTGCATAAGTAAATCCTGAAAAATTGATATATCTATCAAATACAAAAGAAATATGCCAGTGTAAAATGAAGTGTACAAAAGCAAAAACTTGGACAAGGAGAAATGTTTCAGTTTAAAAGAACATTTTTCTGTGCCTCTGAATGGCAATAGGAAAATCAGTAGAAATGCATTGACATAGAGAACTCTTAAGTGGCAGCAGTCAGAACTTTAGAACTTGCTTTTGATTTGTTTGCTTCAGCATGAATGCTGCAGATGAGATGTCATATGGATACTAGATTAGATTAGTTTGGTATTCTAATAAATTCTCTTAAAGTATATTGAATGTTGGTTTAGATAGAAATACCATTGAATATAGAAAATTAGATGCGGCATTTAAATTTATTTCAGAATTTTGTTTCATACACTGCGCCATTTGCCTCTTGAACCGGAACTGTTAATAGCATGTGGTTGGGGACTGTATACCTGTATGATTTCATAAAATTTAATTTTGAAAAATTTAACATATATATTCTCTTTAACACATAATAATGGGCAAAAGAGTGAGCAAAAATTACAATTTAATTATAACAATTTGCTGCCACTTTGATGGGGTAGAGGAAAACTGGTTCACTGTGGGCCGAAATGCGGGCTTATCACTTACTGGTTAGTACTAGGTTCTCGCCATTGACATTTTGTAGCACTGTAGTCATTATGCCAGTACACATACATAAAATATTCTAACCTTGATGGAACATTTGGCATTGAAATTTGGTATAAAAATTTTCAAGTCATGTAATTTATTTAAAAACATGGTCATCATTAGATTCTTTCATTATGTAAATTAATTCTAAATCTATCACTAGAAACTTGAATCTCTTAAATTGGCAATAACAGATTTTTGAAATAGATCTGGTAAAGATTCCTGAAGGACTTTTAATTTTAGTTACACATACTTTACCGTCAGCACCAGTGATTGTCCCTAAAATTCTACCCAAAGCCCAATGACAAGGAGGCAAATTCTCATCCTTAAGCAAAACCATATCACTTCTTTGTTCATTGGATATCTGAAACTGCAGTATTTTGCTCTGTTACAAGTGATTGCAGTAACCTCTCTGCTAACGCTTCCGTATTATTTGAACAAACTTTGTTGAGTGCTGCCACCTTGATAACCTGTAACCAGTGTTTCTATAAATTCAGACTCTGGTATAGATGCGATTGGATGACCAACTAAAAAATACCCAAATGTTAAAACTTCAGATTCGTTAACATCATTAGACATAGGGTTAAAGAGCGAGAATTTAAAAGTCTTTCAATCTGAGTAATGATTGTGAGAAATTCTTCCATAGTGACTTTAGTACATCTTAAAAGAACAAGTTAGTTCTTTTAAGATGGTACCTGCTTCTCATAATCCATCAAAATTTGGTGATCTGGAACAAATTTTGTTTCTTATTATGCTATTTGCCATCATGAAATCTATAAGTAAACAATTTAAGAAGCAGTTACTGGAATGACAGATTTGTTACATCTTGCCAAGTAATATTTTACTCTCTTAATTGCTATCTGCTTTTGACTCATACAAATGTATTTATGCTGATTGGCAATTTTACTTTAAAAAGGAGTTTTCTGTGCACTGATTAGCCTTTTTATCCCTGTTTGTATTATTATGTAATGAAAAATCTGTATATTTGTGTATATGCAAGTAATACTTTGCTCTGAAAAAACAGAATTATCTACAGCTACCAAGTTTTCAACACACATTGTCCTCCATTTGAACACATGCACCTCGAAATCTGAATTTTAAATTTCAAATTTGTTTTTAGCTAAATTCAACATTAGAACCAAATGGCTATTAGTCTCAAAATGGCATTTTGCATTGTTTCACTTTCTGCATTGATTCACTTTTCAAACTGTTGCCAACAAATATTATCACCATGTATTATATTTAAAAAAACTAAATAATGAAGAATTTGTATGAATGCATGAATGTTTCTACATTGTGAAAAAACAACAGTACCTAGAGCCATCCAGTTTTGTATAACGTAGTCCACCAACCGACCAAATTTTGAATTTTGAATTTGTTTTATTAACTATTTCAAATTTTGTAACACTTTAATGAATTTTTTAATGATAAACTCAATGATTTCAAAGCGAGCAATGGCAACACTGTACGGAAAAAGAACATTTTTATCTCCAGCATGCGAGACTGTGTATCAGAAATTCTAAAAATATGCTGTTTTTAAATATTTTGTGATATTGCTGTGGTCTAAGTGTGAATAGCATGATATTTAATAAATAAAGGTAACACTCAAAATGTTAAAAAAAAAAACCCCGATTGGGAGTAATATAAAATATGCAATTTTTCAGATTTTCATTTTTATTTTTTAATGAATATTTTGGAAAAACCTGCGAAGCCGCAAAACATGAAGTGCGAAGTGGCGAGGGAACACTGTATATATATTCAATTTGCCTTTAAAATTGCTTCACCAACAAAGACAACAGATAATCCAACTAAATTTATTTTACTTATTCCATATATTACAAAGTCAGTAATATTTCAGATGTGTTGCACAAACAGAATATGCTGGTATATCCATACTGAATGTGACCATAATAAGTTTAACTACTGTGTAGTGTTAATGTGAATGTGACCATAATAAGTTTAACTACTGTGTGTAAGTTAACTACTGTGTGTAGCAAAACAAAGAGTTGAAAAGGTCTTTGGATAGCACTTTGGAATATTGCAGTTCAAGCTACTGTAATTTGTTACCTGAGTTTATTTCTCATAGCTGTGGTTCTCTTTGTTGTGTCAGGGTACATCATATTTACCAGATATGTTTAACAGGAAGAAATTTTGATAAATGCACTGGCCAAGGCAAAACTGTAATCTCCTGTATATTAAGAAGAGTATTGGAGTATAAAATGTAGTTATGCATTATCGTGCCTCTGCAATCTGTAGGATGTTTCTAAACATATGGAATAAATTAATATGTCTGCAATGTAATATTGAATGATTATAGTGCTAAGTATGTTTACCAGATGGGAATGGAATTCATATCCAATTGTATCATATCCCATAACTTCCAGTGCTGGGCTGCTATGACAACGCATAATACAAGCATATACAGCTGCTCGATCTGTTTTGCCACGCACACACATCTATTATGACGTTGCATGAAGAAGTGGGATTCGTCTCGGATGATATCACATCATTCATGCATCCATGTACATCATTCAACATTGTTTTAGCTATAGATGCCACTGTTTATTAATGATAAGGAATGCAACGCCCCTTCAAATAGTTTGTGACCATCAAGATGACTTCTCACTATATATGCTACTGATGCCACACTCCATATTTCCTGTATTAAAGAATCAGGCTATGGTCTGGCTGTATGATCCATATGGTCCATTTGCAAAATATGTTTGTTGTGTCACTTATTAGTATATTGTACATTATTGTTCTTCCATTATCTAAGGCTATATTTTAGTCACTCAATCAAATTTGGACATAAACTGTTCTTTCTTACTTGAGGCATCTGCACATGTGTGTTCAAATAAACAAGGAGGAAACAGGATTCCTGTATGGAAAATCCATCTTTCTTTTTCTTTGCACTGATTCTAAGGGGTGTTATATGTAACCATTTGCATATATGCACTGCTAAGTATTTTCATGTCCTACCTTATTCTATCTATTATGCATATTTTACATTGATTGGTTATTGCATTCATGGTGCTGTAATTTTATCACAGCATTAATTTTGGTTAACAATATTTATACATCTACGAGGGTTGGGATTCAATATTTAGAGCTATTTATTTGCAATTGATGTTAAATAAAGTATTCACCAGAAATTTTTATTGTGTTTTAGTGTATGCATCACTATTATGTTAATCATATGGGCTTAAGTCCATAAATATGGCAGATAGTAGAGCACTTCTTCGCCCCTTCAAGTGAGTGAATCAGCCAGACATTGTGCTATGTATGTCTGAATATTGTCTGGAAAGTAATAAGAGGATTTTTCAGAAAATGCTTCTGCTTCTTTCACAGCATTGATTTCAGGTTATGTTCCAAAAATGAATAAAAATACTGCCCTTTCCTTGGTCTGTCTTTGAGGATGACTTTGAGATATGCTGTCACAGTTATACATGAGAATCACCTAAAACCCTTATACTACTGAGATTCTAATGAATTCTGGATTTTCATTATGATCCATAATGGAGCCTACTGGCTTTATCTCTCTAAAGTCTCATTGAACCTACTTATAACCTCCAAATGGGTTTGTTCAGAATCTTATAGCCATTGTCTTTTAATAACTACACTGTTCCTGTTTTGAGAACATAATGGCTGCACAGCTTTAGCTATATACTGAATTATTCTTCCAATCATAAGTACGAAACATTAGTAGAGAGAGTTCATTTACTGTAAAACAGGCTAGTTATCAAAACTACTACACTAAACAGTGTAGTATAAATAAGTAGCATTTTTCCCATTTCATTATATATATGCAGCTATGTTGCAGTTGTTTAGATTTTAATTATGTATTTAATATTAATAATATATTACTTAGTTCTTATGAATGCATAGTCTGTTATTTACATTTTCTTACAATGAAATTGCATTTACTAGCCAAAGCATATTTTTTTAACCTATCAACTATTCATAGTTTTTGATAATATTATATTTATTGAAATGTAGTTTGTCAGCTGCCAGAGGAGAGACTTTTAAATAACATGTGTTATATATATGTTGCTGATATGCATTAATATATGGCCAATAGTGTTTATTTTATATACATATTTATCCATATATGTGATGAGCATCAAACTTTTATACTTATTTAATGCTGTTTTATAATTGTATGGATAGCTATTCTAAAGATTTTAAAAATAGAACAGAAATTATGAAGTATGAATTATGAGTTACCACTGTCTGCTAAAACAGTAAAACAGAACAGTCAGAATGTCTTCAAATCTAGCCAATCAGCAAATCCGGGATCTTAAATTAGTTTCAGCTTTATTAATAGCTGTTGAAGAATCTTGTGACATAAATGACACAGTGCAAGTTTCACTTTTTGTTCGATTTATTTCATCTACAGGTCCTAAAAAAGAACTTTTAGGATTATTACTACTGAAAGATCAGACATGTGATGATGTGAATGCATGGAGAAACATCTTATTTCATTAGATAAAATTGGTTAAAAATTGATAAAATCAGAATAAGAAGATGCTTTTGAAAAAAAAAATGTTTACCATTGCATCATTCATAAAGAAGCACTTTGTCTGCAGACATTTCCAGAAGAAATTTGCAATATTTTGGAATTGGTGATCAAAATTATCAACGCGGTTGTAATCACCCCCAATTTAAAGAATTTTTAATTGAAATGAGAGTGAATACACAGATCTTCTGCTATATAATAAGGTATATTGACTTTTAAGAGAAATATTTTGACCCACTTCTCTTCTGTATTCTTAGAAATTAAAGAATTTCTGCTTGAGAAGGGTGTTGAATATTCTGAACTAATGGATGATCTGTGGATCCAAAGAGTTTACTTTGTACTAGACATTATGTTTCATCTAAATAATCTTAATTGTAAACTAGACAAGAAAGGAAACACATTTTTTTTTTTTTTTTTTTTTTTTTTTTTTTTTTTTTTTTGAAGAAGTCAATTCATTTGAAAACAAATTATCTCTTTTTGTTCAAGATTTTGAAACAGAAACATTTATTAATTTTCCAAGCCTGCTGAAACATCAACAAGAAAATAATTCAGTAATTAACATTTAGTATTTCAAAACAATAACTTGAAATATGAGGGAAGCTTTTCTACAGAGGTTTTAGGAATTCAGAATTATCATAGTGATACTAGCCTTTATTGAAAGATTTTTCAGTGTTGAGGTAACAGACTTGGATTTTTCTCCTTCTTAATATTTTGATTAGCACTTCTGAAATGTAATTACTCAAGTTAATAAACAAAGAATTATGGAGCTTCAAATTTGAACACCTTAATGCTGATATGGAAAAACTGGAAAAAAACTAATGTGATCATAGTTCATAGCAAAGCAAAAGTGGTCTCCTTTGAAAGACCTGGAGAAGGAAGACATACTGTTCAACTCCCTGGTGCAGTACTCTTGACTCATTAAGTTAAAAAAAAACAGCATTTGCAGTTCTTCTGCTCTTTGACTGTACATATTCAAGCGAGCAGTCTTCTTCAAACATGAACCTTATCAAAAATAAATTGCCTTATTGATGAGAACCTGGAATACTGCTTGAAATAAAAAACAATGATATACCAATTTGAGATATCTAAACTTTCAAGGAAATGCAAGGTCATTGTTCACATTAAATGGGTGTTTTATCATACTTTTATTTTAACGTAAAAAATATTTTTTGTCGATAAATAAGGTTCTTCTTCTTATTATTAGTATTATTATATCTTGTTTTATTTTATATTAGTAGTTAGTTTCAAGTTACTCCTAAAAACATGGTTCTTGAATGGAAATTTATCTCTCAAATGAAAAAAAAAAATTGTATTGCCGATCTTTGGCTAATGAGTTTGCCGACCACTAACCTAGGCTGATAGCTTGTGTATGCTTTGATATCTTCAAATAAACTAACACTATTATGAACATGTAATAGTGAAAAATATACATGCAATTTTTTTTATTGTTACATACAATAGATTAAAGGTTATTTCTTTATCTGTTAATAAACTCAGTTTATATTTTCAGTTATTCAATCTGTAATTCAAACTCAATAACAGTGATTACATTTTTGACAAATAAATGTCTTAACTTAAAATAAGGTGATGTGGAAATAGACTGAAGAAATTGCAAAACCTTTTGGGCAAAGAGGAAGGATATTTGTGGACTTCAAACTTTGTCAACTTATTGAACCCTTTAAATTATAAGGTTTTTTTTTTTTTTTTTTTTTTTTTTTTTGAGAACTTCATCCTACTCTTAGAAAAATATATCTTAAAATATTATTTAAAATAGATCAGTATAGCTACTTTAAGTAAAGAAGTTATAGCTACTTTAAGTTAAGAAAATAAAGAAAAGTTGTAAGGTATTTTCTTTTTCCTTTCTGCATATCTTCGTTGTGTAATTGGAAGCATACTCAACACATAATTAAGAGGTCTAGATTTCAAGTTCCAGCAAGGGCACCGCACATTTTTCACATCTCCTCCTGCCTTTAAAAAAAAAAAAAAAAAAAAAAGGTTAATGACATGACAATAATTTATAAGCAATAAGATATTTTCACCCCCCTTTCTGCGTGCCTTCAATGTGTAATTGGAAGCATACTCATTCCAAGGTTCGAGTCACAACAAGGGCATTGCACATTTTTCATCTCTCTTGCTTCAAAACCCCCAATGACTCTACAAAGTATCATATTTTTTATTAAAAAATTTAATCGTAATTTTGATTTTGGTTTTTCAAAGATTAACCAAAAGGCTTCTTCCATTGGTAAATTGGATTTTCTTGAGGCTTTTGATATTCACAAAGATTTAACATGTTTAGTGAATAATTTTAAGTCCAATCCAGTCCTTCCTAATGCCTTTAAAATTCTATTATCATAATTCTTTATTAGTTTTGTCGATAGATGGTGTGGCCTCCTCACATTTGGTACTACTGTAGGGTAAAAAACCGTTACAGAGGTTGCTTTCCCTTTATTCAAGGGCCCACCAGCGGCCGAGCGGTAAAGTCGCTGAACACTGGTAGTTCGGTCCGAGGTTTGAATCCTGCGAACGGGCTGGCTGCATGGGTGTTTTCGTGGTTTTCCCCATGTGTAACGTGTATACGAGCCAGTTTCCCTTAGAAAGTCCTCCACAAAAGGCATCCCTTCCCTTTGGCAGATAGCCCTAGTGTGCTTTGCCATAATTAAATACACCACACCACCCTTTATTCGAGGTTCAGTCTTGGTGCGTGAAGGTGCAGTTGCCTTTCGCTTCCTATTTTTTTACTTCCTTGATTTGTTTGCGTTTCAGTCTATGTGTTATATGTTTGATCAGATAGCCTGGCTCAGTAAAAGTAGGCGGGCAGTGTAAATCTGATTCAAAATCTGGTTACGACCACGTGTGTGCTGATAACGACCACGTGTTTCTGAGACTCCTTTGCCAATTCTTTATTTTTCTTCTTTTTCACTTTTCTAGTAATTTTGTTCTGATGAGGAGGGACCTTTAGCTGCCCTCGAAATCGATCGAGTGTTTTAATATATGTTCGCTAAATACAAGGTTGTTATTGTGATTTTAATGCATGTACATCTTTGGAGTATAGTCATATGCAAGAAAACTCTTAAGAAAACTTTGAAGATTATCTTGTGTTTTAAATATCACATTATGTATGTCCAAAAAAACTCATAAGTTTTCTTAGTAAGTACGAAATAATTTTTGAGTTCATGTTTATATATAATATTTGTAATGTTACATAATTGTGTAATTTACTTATGAATAATAAGAATGTTATTTATTGCATAAAGTTTTGATTAGCATTTCAGATGTTAATTGATTTCATTTTATCTTCAGAGATGTTTAAAGTACCCAGGAAATATCTTCGAGGACTGGAAAATTTACCCACAAAAAAGAAATAATTTTTTCTATTTAATTAAGAAGAATTATTTTGCTTTGAACTGTATTGAAATAAAAATAATTATGCATTTTTTGTTCCTATTTTATATATAATGTGTTTATGTCTTTCTTTTTAAAAAGCAATAAGAATATATATCTTGAAAATTAAAACATGAAAATTGCTGATTTCTATTTATTATAAGTCGTGTAAGAAGGAACACTAAATTCTAATATGCAAAATAGTTCTTGCTGAGAACTTTCCATTCAGATTTTATTGAAATACAAAATTTCAGCTATTAAATATACTGTGTGATAAATATTGATGAAAGCATTTTTATACTTCTTTAGATTTCAAATGTGCTTTAATAATATTTCTTCAGCATAGGGCCCAGAAACATTTTTGATTATCAACCCGTTTGGGGAATTCTTGTACTTTTATTGATCCATCTGTTTTTTAAATTAAAATCACCATTAAAGAATGTTAATTTTCATAAGGAAGTGTGAGATGAACACTTACTGTGATAAATTAAATTGTTACTTACCACACATTAGCAGAAGGAATCTAATAGGAGATCTGTAACAAAAGCAATAACATTTAACTTTGATTATGGAGCTTTATGATATATTGTAAGGAGTCTGGATTAGTATGTGCTTTATTTGTTCCTTTGTTGTGTATAGAATTTAACATGATATGGGATTATGTAAACTTATTAAAAGTAGCAAAATAGAATTTTTATTCAGTTCCTACAAAATTTGTGTTCGATTCCAACAAAATAATACTCAGGACTCGTAGCGGTCCTTACAAGTGCTTATAAGTCCTTATATTTGAAAATAAAATATAAAGGCCCTTATAGGTGCTTACTTTTTCTTTAAAGACCTTATTTTTTTGTTTTTAGTGCTTATTTTTTGCTTTTAGTGCTTTTTTTTTTAATCCAATTTTTATTAATCTTTTATTAATCAATAATTTTAATTTAAGCGCATTTTTTCCCGTACCAAGCCGAAATAAACACTTTTCTTTTTTATATGCAGGTCCACTTTGAATCATACTCCCGAAAATGCTTTCCTCCCCTTTGCATCATGGAGGTAGAAAGTAAGAAGGAGTCGCCCTAAACAAGTTCTCCGTACCCGCTCTGAAGCACGGCGATCACGTGGTAACCAAAAGGGTCATTTACCATTGAGTTCTATGGGATTTGACGCGTTCGGGTGTAAAATTTTGTAATTACGTCGCAAATACATATAAATGTATATATTTTCTTTTTCTACAACACTTCACCATCCTAAGTATGTGAACATATTTGAAACAAACATTCATTCTGAACGAATTAAATGCTATACTTTCAAGGACAGTTTTCTCAGAATGGTTAATTTGAATGAAATATTTTCACATGTTTTCGTTAATTACATTAGAAAAAAAAATAAGTAATTCGATTTTATTTCGGTTAAGGTCAAAAATAGATCAATTATTGTATTATTAATATTAAAATATGCATTATTTCTTTTCTATTTATAGAGCTTCTCCTAAAATACTTTTTAAATATGACATGATTTTTTGGCTTCTTTTAAATCGAAAATGTAATCAATTTATAATTAATGCTCTATTCGTTCATTTAAATTAGAGAATTATTAGGAAAATATATTGACTTTCTCTGAACACATTTTGAAAGGGAATAAATAAGTTTTTTTTTTTTTTTTTTTTTTTTTTTTTTTTAAAGTATTTTTAAAACTTGTAACGTGAGTTATATAAATGTAAGGGAATAATCTTTTAATTATACTTATCAGATTTTTTTTACCCTTCATTTCAACAATACATATTCCAAAACTCTTTACTTCTTAAGTGCGCATCTCATAGCATTTGCTTACAATACCTTTTAACAGATCGCTTTCCAATACGAACAATTCTTGCTTAAATAGTTTATAACATATTTGTCAACAGGATTTCAATTTATGTTACAATTCACTATTAAGGTTATTATATATTTAGAAACATTTATAATTTTAAATTAGATAATTTAATCATTAGATTTCTTCACAGTACTATCACAGTTGTTATTAGTGAATAAATTTCATTTCAAATACATTTATAAATAATTTAATGAATATTTAAGTATTTTGTCAAAGCAGATACATGCTTTTGCAAGCACATGCATAATACCCATACATATTTCCTATTTATCATTTCCGGCATGTGCAAATCTTTAATTTCCGTGCATTCACTATATTTTTCGTGTAAAGTAATTTACACTAATTTAGCATACACCCGAAAGTTTTACATAAAAAATATATATGAATATAATTTGAATGAAAATTTAAAGTATTATTTTTAATACCCACTCAAAGGTCAGTTTTTCTTCAAAATTCCTCCACGATGGCATCTCTCTCGTTAGGCAGATATCCCTTGCATGCACTCTATTTAATAAAAATTAATCTGACCTATGTTCCTAATTACAAATATTTTAACATATATAATTTTATATTTACATTTAGCCATCAAGTTTCAAACTTTCAAATCTTCTAGAAAATAATTTTGGCAGATCTCTTTTAGCAATTTTTCTTAAAATCTATATTTTTGTAGTGCAACAGCTTAGAATTTTATAAAACAAATTCATAATCAAAATCGCTGTTGTTAGTTATCGAAAATAAACCAAGATGTGATTTTTGCGTAAAGTCAGTAAACTATACAAATTGCTATTATCCATCACACTATGAATGTTTCTTTCATGCGAGAGTGTCCCCTTTTTCGATTTCTATGGAACTGTCGTGTGTCGAAATACTATCAGAATTTTGTCAGCGAGCTTCTGAATGTAAACAAAAAACACCCGTCTGGTGACCCAAGCTTCAAAGCAGTGCTTCACTTCTAGCGCGGAATGGCCCCTCCTCCCTTTCCTACCTCCATGCTCTGCATTAACGTAACCTATGGTGCGCGCGAGAGTACAGACAGGTGCACGTCGTTCTATTGGCCAAAGAATTGCGAAAACGTAGAAAATTCCGGTACATTCGGTATTCTTTTCCTCCCACCCAAATACTACACACGTTTGAATTTCTATCAAGATTTTAATAATTTGCATTCTCATTCCTCGTGGTCAGTTCATATTCGTGTTTATTATGATCGTTATGCTTATATTATGAGTATATGTATGAATATTTATAATAGTATAGTTGCAGTAACTGCTGAAGTATAGATAAACTTCCAAAAATGGGTGTGTTTTTACACAGATTAGCTTTCTAAGGAATAATATTCGGAATGGCTTAAATAAAAGGAAAGTAATCAAATAGTCAAAATAATTTCATTTTCTTTGCCAATGCATTATACAGTACGGAGGTTGTGAGTTTCTCCGCAAAATCTCTGATATTGAAGCAGCGGACATTTTTTGGTCACTGTCCAATCTGGATTGAATAGGACTAAAAGTTTTTGCGGTCTACCCAACCCAAGCGAAGATTGATTCTATTCCGGAAATTTAATACAGTCTGTTGAAAATTAGAATCAGAAACACCCCAGATTAGTAAGTCTCTTTCTTTATTTAGTTCTTTTTTCTCCGAATACCGGCAGGAGTTGATTCCGATTGCGTAATATCCCGTATGGAAGAATTATGCCGCACGTATTGTGCAATAACGTTTGCGGTATTTCGCATTGATAATTAATTTTGATGTTCAGTCTGAGATTTGTTTATGCACACTTAAAAGAGTTTTACTGTGCTTTCTACGCCGAATATTTTCAGTTCCGTTGGTTTTTTTTATATGATTCACATATCGAAAATGTCAAAATAATTATTAGCTTAAATTTAAATCTAAAGAACAGCTACAATCTCCCAACACTCCTCTCTTTTCAAGTTACTATCCGGAATATTCGGGAATTTTCGAGTATGCGGGTTTAGTTAAGCTTTTACTGTTAAAGGATGACTGAATGAAGCAATTTCCTGTCTCTTCTGATTTCAGAAATGTGCCTCTTTATTACTTAAATTACTTTGCTTGGGATATATCTTTAAGAAAAAACTGATATGCAATGAAAATTTAGAAAATGTTCAGAATTTTGATTTAAGTTAAATTATTTAAATATTAATATGAGTGGAAAAATAAATTGTATTTATTATTAGGTGCCAAAACGAATACAATTAAAATGGCTTATTATTATTTATTTTCTATATTTTCAACTGAAATATCATCATTAAATTTTGTAATATAGTTTATTATTGCATAGTTTTTTTTCTCTCATTGTAAACTAATTCTGTAAATTGAACTGTTATTTAAAATTTAAAAAAAAAGGTCATTGTTTTCCATTGTTGAGGTAATGCTCATTCTCTTAATAAATATTGCATAGCTCATATTTTAAATTACAAGTCTAATTTTTCTTTAAAGGTTATGCAGTTGTGTATAATGTAATTAGACAGGTGCTTATTTTTTCCTTAAAATGTGCTTGGAAAGTGCTTATAGGTGCTTATTTTTTTAACTAAAATGTGGCTATGAACCCTGATACTTCATAGATGAAGAACTGATATTCTCAAGCATATCTCTTGTCTAAATATTTTAAGTTCCATATGTTTTTATATTTATGATGATTTACAGTGTTATTAATGGTATTTATTTTCTTGGGTTCAGTTCTCTTAATTATATGACTTAGCCAATAGACATAAGCCATCATATGAACTTAAAAGTAAGTTTTTAATATACTAAGCAATCACACAATTTGATAAGTTTCCTTCTTAATCTCTCTATTTATCTTGTATTTGATCCTTTGGTGACTTTTGATCATCATAATTTCATCATTCAGACTTGGGATTTGATACCGAAATTTTAGAAATCGGTTATCTGATGGTAATAGTACTTGCTTTTTACACAAAGAAATAAATAGTTAATTCCAGTGCAAAGATTTTGAAGTAATTAGCTAAAGCTGTGTCATAAAAAGTCATATCTCAGATAATCCATCGTTTCATAAAAAAGTACAATTGGATCTTTTTAATGTTATTTATTTTTGACAGTATGATATTTTTGAATATATTTTACATGAAACATAGCTGTATCTCTTTTAAAATTTTTAGAGAACTGTTCATCTAAAGCAATTGAAAATTTCAAATAATTAATTTTTTAGATAATCCA